TGTAACATGCTGTCACTGCAAAGTTTGCACTTTGCATGCCGTCAAGTCACAAAATAAAATCATTAAAATCATCTCATAGTGTTTAAACGAGCTTATGGATTTGTGTCGGGTTGCTTCCACAGCTATAGCCAGCCACATGAGATGGGCTGGACATACCACATTAAGGTATCCGTATCTACCCACCCCAACAACCACCCTCAGCAGCACGTTGGCTGTATGGGACTAAGTGAACAATCACGCAATCCATGAAATTGATTCTTTTGACCAGCCTAGGGAAACCTTGAACTCATGGTCCAACTTCCTATGCTTCTCAAATGTTGAAATTAATGAGGTATACCTCCATGACAGCTGCAAGTGATTTTTAAGCCACAACTTTAAAGTCTTTCTGGAATAAGGCAAAGGACAGATTAATATAATTTCAAAACTGTTGCAAGGCTGGGCATGGCAATATACACCTTTAGTCCAGCACTCGATAGAGACAGATGGATCTCCATGAGTTTGAGGCTAGCCTACTTTACATGGCGAGTTCCAGGCCAGCCATGGCTACATAGTGAGACCCTGTCTAAAAGGAAAAGGCATTGCTGTTCTCTTTGAAGTTGTTACTGTGGGTCTCTGTTTACCTATCAACAGCACTCTTGCTGATGAATGGTTTTGAAAATGGTCAGTAATGATGCATTTGGTTCTAGAAGAGTCACAGGCTAGCCGCACTATATCTGACAAGTTGGTGGTTAAGGTAGACAGCACTGCTTCAGAAACTACAGTGTTTGGTTCAGGGTAGGCAAGGAGGCTCACTCCTCGGCCTTAGGGGGCTACAGAGAGAAAGTGCCACAAGTGACAACTGCTGCGCAGTCGAACTGGAGGTATTGAAAGGGCGCTGAGAAGCTGGGCTGAGGGAGGTCGAGCCCTATAGCTGGATGGTGGTTATGGCTGCAAACATACCATAAACCACTGACAATTTACTTCAAACAGGTTAAATTTCATGCTGTGCAAATTGCCACTCAGTAATTTCTCAAAAACAAGCAAAAGCCAAACCCAGATACTATGTGAGTCCAAAGATTCTCTTCAGTTCTAAATTAAAACTGTGATCCTTACTATCTTTGTAGAGAGGATGCATTAAAAGCAAGGCAGGGGCGTGGCAGGTGTGGGGGCAGGTGTGGGGGCAGGGGCGGGGCGGGGGCGGGGCGGGGGCGGGGGCGGGGGGTGGGGGCAGGAGTTGGGGCAGGAATTTTTCGTGCTAAGGTTAGCCTTGCTTAGGTCCCTGGGTCTGGAGCCTGACTTTTCCGGGAAGCTACAGAAGGTCTTTAAACATTCCAGTGGCCTACCTCAGAATAAGACAAAAGTCAGGACAAAATCAGATATGACAAGGAAACCAGCTAAACATTAAATGATATTATGGTAGTCTTGGGTAGAAATTATGGTATTTGGAACCACAATGATGGTCACAGGATAAAGGGTGGCACATGTGTCCTTAGATGAGCCTGACAGATTCTGGCAGCCGAAGCTTTGTGGATAAGAGATAAGGGAGTCAGGGAAGGGTTTGCTCAGAGGAGGGGTAGTAGAAGGACGGACATGTGATGCCCATCTGTGGACCTGTTGGATTAGTGGTGCCTGTGTGACATCCAGATAAAAATAACCAATAAGCAAGTGCACCCATGATTCTGGCATTCTGGGAGACTGGCTACAAGTCATTTGTATGAAATAGTGGTTAAAAATAGGAAGAACCAACAAGTAATGAGGGTTGTACATCAGAAGGGTGGGGGCTGAGGATGGGACCCTGTGGAATCAGCAATGAAGGACAGAGGGAAGAGCAGAAAGGAAGAGAGAAAATTGGAGATGAACACTAGGGAGAGAGGATGCCAGGAGACCGTGACAGGAGAGAGGACGGGAGACGCAATCTCCAGGAAACAAAGATGAGGAAGGTGGCTTGAAGTGGTGAGGAGAAGGAAGTGGGGATTTCAAAACAAACACAGAACCAAGAAGGAAGTGGAGGCAGAAATGAGGCTGGCTGGCTGGCTGGAGATGTCTGAGACAGACAGGGAAGCCAGGGAGGCTGCTAAAGGAGGAAGGCTTTGTGCCTTGGTTCTTGAAACTTCAGCAAATTTGTAGACCGAGCCAGCAAGAACAGAAGGTTGGGCTGAAGTTACAGCTCAGTTGGTTGAGGGCTTGGTTTTCATGCAGGAGGCCTTGGATCCTGTCTCCAGCACAAGGACAAATAGATAAGCCAATATATAGAATATAAATACATACATAAGTAAATGAGAGAGAGGAAGAGACAGAGAGCGAGTGAGGGACAGAGAGAGATAGAGATAGAGATAGAGAGAGAGAGAGAGAGAGAGAGAGAGAGAGAGAGAGAGAGAGAAATACAGACAGCCGAGTCCCATAGAAGGCAGAGGGTGGACTGGTCCCAGCTGGAGAGTGATCACTTTGCCCTCTGAGATTGGCGGTCGGGAAGGCTGTGAAGACTGAAATGGCAGGGGAAGCGGCTGAGAGTCCTCCCCTGCTGCAGCCTCCCGTCTTTGTCTGAAAGGAATTTGGAAGTGTGGAGTCAGATGTAAAGACTGGAAAACTTTAAGGTTGTAACTGCAAGGGCTCATGGGCAGTACACATGGGAGAGAGTCCTTCTTGTTCATCTGCTCTGCTTCCAGCTCCTGGGTTGGACCACTTTTTGCCACCTCCACGCCTATGAACTTGGTCCAGCTCACCATATAGTCTTTCTTAAATGTCCATCATACTTCCAAAATCGTTTGCTTGCAGCCCTTTCCCCTCACAGAAGCCAAAGTGATTTAAAAAGGAAAAAAAAAAATCTAAAGCAGATGTCCCTCCCTCCAACAGTCTCCAGTAATTCTCACTGTGGTGGGATTCACATGTGTGACATGTCCTGCTTCCCCCTGTAAGAGCCAGCAGGATCCGGTTCTGCAGAGCTCCTCTACCATTACTTTCTCTTGGCTCTCAGGGAGCATGCTCCTCCCCCATTATTATGTTGGGTTTGTTTCTTTGCTTGTAGTTGTTATTTTTTGTCTTTTTCAAATATTGATCAGCAGCTGTTTCAGTCCGTTTTCCATGACTGTGAGAAATATCTGAGGCAAATCAGCTTAAAGACAGGGAGGGTTTGTTTTGGCTCCCAGCCTTGCAAGTTTGATTGTGACAGATGCTATAATGAAATGGTCCTGTTGCTTCAAGCCTGAGGACAGCAAGACAGCAGCATCCACTCCCCTCATAGTGGCCAAGAAGAGAGAAGACAAAAGGGGCTGGGTCCCCATAGTGTCCTATGGCAGCACACCTTTCTCCAAAGACCTCTCGTTAGAACCCCCTCTTAAAGGTTCTACCGTCTCCTAGTGCCAACTAGGGAACCAAACCTCTGACACATGGGATTATGAGGAAGCATTCTAGAGCCATACCAGAGTGGTAACTAAAATAACTTCATACTGCGTGCACATTTTCTGTTCCTAAACCTAGAATAAGAATGCAGGAACCTTGTTCAGCACAAAGAAGGCACGTAATGGATTAAATATTGGTTGGATGACCAAAGTAAACAAAATAAAACACAACTGTCAATACTGAAAGCCTACGTGATCTTAGAAAATGAAACAAAACGGATCCAGGATGACATATGGTTGCAGCATGATCTGATTTTCGTCACCAGGGACGGTTGATAACAAGACAATCCCTTTACCCACTCATTGTAGAAAAAGTATTAAACGAGTATTTCCACATGCCAGCCAGGAGGTGGGGGCATCTTTGTGAAAAGCGGATGATTCCCTGAGTAACCTGTTCGGGGTTGACATTCTTACTCAATTGCTGGAAGTCTTCTGCCCTTTGTAGTCCTCTTGGGTGTGGGTTGGCAACTGTGGGAGGAAACTGCCAATCCTTTCCAACCCCAGAACAGGGTAGCACCATTCAGGTGAAGTCAGGCTACTGAGCCGGGTCTGGTTTCCTTGGTGACCCACAAGGCTCAGTTCTGTCTGAAACTGCTAAGGAGGAGAAGAACCTGATAGCTGAGCTGTGTTTTCCTTAGGGAGGAGCTGCTTTCCCAGCTTCATGGAGGCTAAGGATGTGTCTCTTTGATTGGTAAGGGCTGCTTCTCACAGGGGGGAGCTGAGTGACATCTCCAGCAAGTCTGTCCTATGCCAGCCCCGGGTAATTGCATCATGACCCCTCAGGCTGCCCATCACTTTTGTTTTTGCATACAAACACTGTAGCCAGGGAGACCAGAAGTTTGCTTGTTGTAGAGTGTGCAAACCACCTTTCTTCTGGCACCCATGACAACAGAAGGGCATGCTGTTTTGTAAATGGTAGGGCAACTCAGTTAACCCCTTAAGGTCCTTTTTGCTTCTCGGTTATCTAAATATGAACCCTAATATCACTTACTGTCGAGGGTTTGGGACCAAACACTGCATTGAATGTGTGTGTGTATGCATGAATATGTGTGTGGTATATGTGTGCACATGTACGTGGGGGCCAGTGGAAGTTGTCTGGTGTCCTGCTGTATCACTCCTTATCTTACTCCTTTGGCTTAGGTTCTCTCACAATCTGGAGCTAGGCTGGTAGCCAGGCAGCAGACCCCAGTGATCCCGTCTCTGCCCTGCAGATTACAGGGGTTACAGATGCGCATGGCCACATGCTTAGCTTGTGGAGTGGCTGCATCAGCTTTGAACTAAGGTCCTTGTGTTGATGCAGCAAATGCTCTTATCCACTGAGCCATAGCCCCAGCCCCTGCATTAAACATTTCCTCAGGTCTTCATGTTCATCTGGCAATGTTTCACTGCCTGAGCCATCTCCCAGTCCCCTAACAATGTAGCACGGAGGATAGCAAGGGGTGACTATGAAAACTGGGACTGCCACTGGGATAAAATGCTTTTTTTTTTCCTTCACATTTATGACAGTGTTATGAAGTTGGCAATAACGATTTTACAGGTGAGTGGCAGGTTGGGGGTGGGCTTCCACAGATGCTGCCTTAAAGTTCTATTACCCAAAAGGCAACCCTGGCTTTCCGAAATTACCTGATATTCAGAGTCCACCTTATGCTGCATGTCCCGCAGATACTGAACATCACTGACGAACTTCTGCCTGTCCCTTGCTTCATGCAACATGGTTCTTAGTTCCCGACCTACATAAGAGAGAGAAATAAGCACGGTGACAAATGTTTTTGTGATTCACCATATTTGGATTTATTTGAGTATAATTGCGTGTTCTTTTATTAATCTGTTCCCCCATTGTTTGTTTGAAAGGTACAGACTTTTTTTTTTTTTTTTTTTTTTTTTTTTTTTTTGGTATTTGTGTCCTTTTCTGTTCCAGCCATAAATAATGCAGTCACATTCATCAACTGGCTTCAGCGAGCTTACTCTGGTTATCCACAGGGACTTAGGTTGACAGACACCTGATTGGGAAGCGGTTCTATCACATGGCACATATGAAAACAAGAACCCAGACAAATTTGCAGTGACCAAACTCTTAAGTCCTGGGTTGCTTAAATTCTCACATGCGACCATTGCCCTTAATCCAACCCAGACACTGGCAGCTGCTGGGTACAGCAGATACAGTCCCTGCCTTTGTGTTGGTGACAGTCTAGGGTGGAAAAACCAGTGCTAGACGATCTAACTCTGCCAGTACAGAGCTGGGTGTGGGTTCTTTGAAGGGTATTGTAGAAGGGTGGTATCTGGCTGGAAGGGTCAGCCTGAGACTCTGGGTTAGGCTAGAGTTGGGAGAGGATGGCAGGTACCTCAGGGCATGGAGGAGGATGAGAGACGGAGTGAGGGTGGAACATCTGGGGCAGATGGTGGGGACCAGAATGATGGAGGGCTGGCAGAGACCAGCTCCTATGGGGCCTTGCAGGTCATAATGAGAAATCACATGGAGTTATTGATAGGTTCTAGTCCAGGCAAGAAATGCTGCATGGCACGTGTAAGTGTGTGTGTGTGTGTGTGTGTGTGTGTGTGTGTGTGTGGTGTGTACCTGTAAGAGGGACTTTGACATTAGTTATTTCTCCTCAATCAGTCTCCACTTTATTTTTTTTTGAGACAGGGTCTCTCACTGAGCCTAGAGCTCACTGACTGTGCAAGAACAGCTGACCAGAAAGTCTCAGGGACCCTCCTGTCTCTGCTTGTCCAGGTTTTTAAATGGGTGATGGGGGTGTGAATAGGGGGGCAGAGGCATGGTCCTAAACTCAAGTCCTAATGCTTACTCCAGCAACATTTCACTGACTGAGACGTCTCCCAATCCTTTACATTTGTGGGTTTATTTTTGTTTTTTGTTTGTTTGCTTTTCAATACAAGGTTTCTCTGTATTGATTTGGAGCCTGAGTGACTCTTACATATTACCAAGTCCAGCCACCAGCACAAGGTACAACCTTGGCTGCCCCTGGAACACAGCTTCAGCTTCTCTGTGCTCTCAGGAAACACTTCCAGAAGATTTCACCTCAATGAGGCTGCTCGCTCTGTCTGTCTTTCTGTCTCTCTCTTTTTCTCTGGATAGCCCTGGCTGGCCTGGAACTCACTCTGTTGATCAGGCAGGCTTCAAAATCACAGAGGTCAACCTTGCCTCTGCCTCCTGAGTGCTGGGATTAAATGTGTGTCCCACCATAACCAGGCTGCCGTTTTCTTCTTAGTCACTGCTGATTTCTTAGCTCCAGGCAACCAGCATCAAGGATCACAGTAGAGTAAAATTTCACTTTAGTAGGGTTCATATCTTGTCAATCACGGCTGATTCTTCAGCCTTAGCTAACCAGAACCACAGACTTAATAACCAGTGCCGCCCCCCCCCCCCATAGAGTCTTTGTCTTCCCTCTGAAATTTCACAAGCCAGGCCTCTATCCTCTGCACTGCTCTTAACATTCTTATCTTCCAAGCTCCCATAAAATATCCCACAGAGCTCTTAACACTCAATGGCTCTTCTAGCCTGGAGTTCCAAAGGCCTTCCACAATCCTCCCGAAATCATGGTCAGGTCTGTCAACAGCAATACGGTACCACACTGGTACCAATTTCTGTCTTAGGGTTCTATTGCTGTGATGAAACTCCTGGGTTATAGAACCCAGGACCACCAGTACAAGGATGGCCCTCCCACATTGATCACTAGTTGAGAGAATGCCTTACAGCTGCATCTCATGGAGGCATTTCCTCACTTGAGGCTCCTTCCTCTCCGCTTGTATCAAGTTGATACACAGAAACAGACGTACGCCTCCTATCCAAAGCTTTGACTGCCTGGGATCAGGAAGAGCAGCTTTGTGAGAATAGAAAGTGGAGTTTGAAGTGAAATTCTGTAGACACTTCAGACTCCACTTTGTCTCATGCTGCAAATGGAGATGTCAAGCCAGCAGTTAGAGATGCAAGGCTCTGAGCTGATTGGACACGTAAAGATTTGGCCACTGCTGCCATATTTGTAACAAGTTAAGTTGAAACAGAATGGGTACTGAACAGAGAAAATGAACATGGGACAAAACCATTAACAAATAAAACGTAAGGAAGAGGCAGTTGAAGAGGAGCTCAGTAAAGGACCACAGCGGCAGGAGAAAGACCAGTAGGTGTGGCTTCATAGAGGCCCGGAAGATGTCTCCAGGAAGGGGTTGTTAATACACCTAGCAAGGGCAGTTACTGGACCGACAAGGCTGAAGTTCCATTGTGCTACTGTATAAACAGGTGGTAAAGACATGTCTTCAAGAAATTAGGCTTTGGTTGGTGTGGTCTAATTTATGACCACAATATTATAGCTCACAAAGTTATAAAATGGCAGTTTGTACCGAGCCTGCCACATCTCATCAACAAATCATGAGAGGCCCCACAATCCATTACAGCTCATCATTCACCAATGTTCTTTCATAGATTGCTGTATATATTCTTAATGACTATGGTGTGCTCTCTGCTGCTCCGAAACAGCAGGGGGGACAGTCGCCAACCGAACCCTCAGGTGTGAGTGGTCTGTGGCTTTTCCTTCCTCCTCTGCTTTATTCAGTGTGTATAGATAGTGACTGTCTGGTTGTTATGAAATCTTGAGAAGTTGATCATCTGCCCTGAGCAGCGTGGAGAGCTTCCTGGTCCCTGGAGGACTGTTTTCCCTCAAAGTAGACAGTGGGTCTTTAGAGAGTTAGGGTCTGAAACTACAATATATATAGTTCTATAGTTTGTAAAACACCTGAGTAGGACCATGCTTCTCCCTCTTAAACTATCCACTAATTCTCCATGTGATAAGAATCAAGTTGACATATCAACCTTTGACCTGCAAGACCAACTTGACCTAGTTCTTTTGAATGTGTCAGGGCGGTTTGGACTTGCCATCACTTGGCCCAAGATGGTTGGGTGAGCACTTTCCCATCATGCACTTGCACAGGCATATGGCTCTACCCTGTTAACTGTTTTTTGGTTTTTTTTTTTTTCTTTCATATATTCATCAGCAACTGTGTTAGTCAGTTTTCCATGACTGTAACAAATACCCAAGGCAAGTCAGCATTAAGAGAGTGAGTGTGCGTGTTTGTGTGTGTGTCTGAGAATTACACAAGACATTTATGGACCAAATTTAAAAATATCACTTTTAACTTTTCATATAAATTTGTACCTGCATCGAATGACGCCTGCACCCCTCTTTTCAGAAAACGGTGGGGTTAAAAACAGAAAGATGGACCCCCGCTGCTCCTGTTGGGAAGAGAAGCCTGTTTGAATATTAATCCGGCAGGGAACACCAGGATTCACAACCAGACTATGTCAATGGCCAGGAAAGAACACAGCCCACAGCTCAGTGGGAAGAAACATTCTAGGTGCAAAGTTACCACAGCAAGGCCAGCTAATCTATCATGGCTTCAGGGTGGAATAATTTAAGGAATGTCAGGAGGCCTGAAATAACCTGGCCCAAGGAGGTAGGAACCAATACCACTGGGAGACTTGCTAGGTACTTGCTGACCTCATAATCAGGCTGCAAAACAAAAGACTTTGCCGGCAAGAGACCCTCCCACCACCCACCATAAGCTCCCCAGTACCCTACATATTTGAAGCCCCAAAGTGCCGCATGTAGTTCCTTCTTTAACTATATCAAGATTTTATCTGTCTCTAGTAGGAAAGACACCAAGGAGACAGTCGATTATCTCAGGTTAGAGAAATATTCTCCCCATGAACTTGAATTTTAAACTGCACTGCAAGTTTGAAAAACTGACCAGAGTGAACAAGAAAAAGAAATAACTAGATGGGAATAAATCCACAAGAGATAATGCTTAATTTTCGGAGTCCCATTTTGTGGGCCTACTCAACCAGATGGCCATTTGAAGCCAAGGATTTTATTTTATTTATTTATTTTTTTAGATACAGGCAGTTGCCAGAGTGTTGTGTGGGGGCAGATAAGAGGTGGGCAAGGCGCGCTTCTAAAATAGCATCCCGTGCTATCTTCTGTTCTCACCTTTGAACTGCTTCTGGTTCTGAAATTCGCGCATGGTCATGCATGCATCTGCTGTGAGCCTCTGGTGGCAAAGCGCTGAACCAAGTTTATGTTTTAGAAGTCAGTGGAAGAAGCCATGTTAAGGAGATGGAAAGGGTCAGGGATGAGAGGTGTGTGGCAGGAGAGGAAGTGAGTGGTTCTGCCAGGCCTCAAAATTCTACACATCTGTGAAATTTCAGTGAGGAATATTCTAAGAACTCTATGACATAAATTCCTCTCTGATGTAAATTTCCAGGGAGTTCAGGGTGGCTAAGAACAACAAGATTTGATGGCAGACTTTCTTCCCATTCGCTAAACGTATCGTGTGTGTGTGTGTGTGTGTGTGTGTGTGCGTGTGTATAGATGCATATATACACTCATGTGTACATGCCATCTCCTTTCCTATGTTCATAATTGTCTTAAAAAAAAAAAACAAAAACCCTGATCTGAAGGGAGTCCTTTAAGCCAGCTTACCCTTTTCTTGCTGCACTCTCTGTGAAGTATCACTAAAAAACGATACTGCCTTGGTTTTGGCAAATAAGCAAAATGTAAATTTAACCTCTTTAGAACGAAGCTTCATTTGAAACAAAATTTAAGTAGCTGTGTTGCTGCCTGACAATCAGGTTTATAAATTCCTCCTTTCCCGAGATTGGGTGCTTGGAAGAAGGATTTGAGAAAACTTTAATTCAACCTTTTCCACAATGAATTAATTTGTAATGACAAGGATTACAGGATTTGTTTCCATTTTAGCTTGGGAGGAAAAAAAAAAATCTTAGAGTTTTAAAAATCTCACTTTACCAACTTGTATTGAGAGTAAGTTCAGTGGCTAGGTCCTTTTTATACTTCAGAGGTTGAGGGCTTGAGTGGGGGGGGGGCTGACTTCCCATTTCATTTAGGAAATGCAGGTCGGTGGGGTGCTTGAGAGACCTAGCTAGCAAACACTGACCATTAAGCCCCGAGGAGAGACTGTAATTGGAATAGTGGGAAGGGACACTGCAAGTCTGACAAGCCATTGGGTTCTAATATTAATCACACCACCATCTTTTCACACTCAAAGCCGTTTCCTAGGCTTGTAGACCAATGACACGTACAAGAGACGGTACATAGCCGTGTGAGGGGTTGCCAGTGTGCAAAATAAATGAATAAATAAATAAAATGACCACACTCCCCTTATCTATTCCTTTGAGGCAGAAACATACTGGGGTCAGCTAGAGGGAGAAAGAGGCTGGCCACTACGCTCCAGGCCTAATTTTCCTCCAGAATCTTTTAAGCTTGAAAGGAAAAGTTGATCCTCAGTCTTGGGAAGGCTGGGGCGTCGCCTGTTACCTTGGGGATCAGCACTTTTGGCCCCTGCCAGGGACTAAAGGGGCCGTGGGGCAGAGCGGGCGAGCAGGCCCACAGCAGAGGAACCGCCCATCAATTGTGCGTGGGGCCAGTCCTGGGCTCCTCTTCCTCCCCAGGCCTCACGTCTTCCCTCCTCCTTGAGGCCCCTCTTCCTTCTCCTCCCGGAGGCAGCTGTCCGCTGCGGCCTCCGGCCTTTCTCGGGGCGGAGACGGTGGGGGCGGCTGCCTGGCGTCTTCCCGTTTCCTTGGCAACCGGGCTTCCTTCCTCGCGCGGAGCCTGTGCCGCTAGAAGCAGCGTGGATCGTGGGGGGCGGGGCAAGGCTGCGGCCCCGGGGGTCCTGAGTCCACACGTGGGCGGGCCTCGCTGGTTGCCGTGGGAACGAGAAGGGATGCAGTTGGGAAAGGAAAGCAGTGATGGCGGCTGGCTTAGAAGATGCATGCTGATTTTGTCTGTGTTCACGCCCAGATGTGGTGCTGTTTCTTATAAGAACAGAGAATGGGAGAGGAGAAAAATTCAATTGAATAAAATATTAAAGGCAGTACGTGGAGAGAAAAAAAGATACTGCACTTTCTGAGATGGTTGATACACAGTGATCTTCAAGTAAAATGTTCCAATCCTACAGGAGAAGAAAAATGAATAAAGGAGGCACCCATACATACCCTTCGGAATGGAGACCAGAAGCCGGTTTCTTAGCAGTGGTCATTACTGGCTTCTCCAAGAAAGAGGTGCTTGGAGGTTTAGGCAGTGTCTACCAGGTCCTTGGCTCACTTCATTGTTTCTGGGATGGGTTATTTTTCTCTGAGGTCCTAATAGGCAACCTTAGCTCTTCTGTCTCTTTCATATATTTAGGTACTCAGTAACTCGTTGGCTGATGTCACTAAAAGGCATTTTAGACAAAGAAGATAGACAATAGAAATTGTTGTACCTTTCATCAGTGTCCTAGAGTTCCCCTATGTCTGGGGTCCAGGTGTCTCCTATGCAGCCCCCACATTCAGGCAGTGACTGTATCTTGGCAGTTTGGCATCCTTCCTTTCTATTCTTATCATCACCACCCCTGATTTGGGACTCCGTGGTCTATGAACTGGATTAATCTATGGACCTTGCAACAGCACTCTGAGCCCCTGTTGGCCAATTCCCTAGCTCCAACCTCTCCCCTGACACATTAGCAGCATAGGTCCAAATGTCTCCAGTCACCAACAGGATGTTCCCAGAGACTCCTCACTGTCTGAGAAGTGATCACCAGACTCTTGGCTGTGACTGTCCCCATTTGTTCCCCAGGATTTGCTTTCTTCTTTTTTGCCCTTGAGTCATCCCTCGACAGATGGGGCTCTATTACATGCTTCATCTTCACTCCGATTTCTAATATCTTGTGCAGCAGAGTCTAGACAGTATGCTTTGGGGAAGCCTTTGTTTTCGGTTTTCTCATCTGACCTTCAATACCATCCGTTTCCCATCTATATTGTATCTTTTTTTTTTTTTTTTAAGATTTTTGTTACACTGAATTCTTATTGGACGTGTGAGGGGGCAAGCATGCTGCAGTGCATGTACGTGGAGGTCAGAGGACAGTTTGCCAGAATCTCTTCTCTCCTTCCATGTGGGTCCCGGCGTCCAAACCCAGGTTGTCAAGTTTGGTAGCAAGTACTTTTACCTGCTGAGCGATCCATCTTGCAACACTGCATCCTATTCTTCTCCTCAGCTGGCTATGAAATATTCTTTATTAAGCTATCAACTGTAAGGACATAACATGGAGCCTCTCTCCCTGGTCTTTGCCTTTCAAAGAGATATATACAATTAAGAACCCAAGTGTTAGGCCCTTTCTGGAGATGTAGGTCAGTGCCTGCCTGGCATGTAGGAGGTTCTGGGTTTTATCCCTAGCACCACATAAAATGGGCATGATGACACACACCTGGAATCCCAGTACTCAGAGGAAATGGAGGCTTGAGACTAGTGAAACCAACCTTCTTACCCTGTGTGTGTTGGGGGGTCACTGAAATTCTGTAGTAGTAAAATGATGGTTAGGGAACTTGAGGACTTACCTCAAAAATGAGAACTGTAATGGTAACTAGTGATACTTATTGTAACTGGTTAACAGAGAAGGACGTGGAAGCCTAAGTGTGATAGTTGAACAGGAATGACACAGCCAAGGACACCTGACAGGGAACAGACCCAGAGCTCAGAAGCAAGGATCCCATTCCCAACAACTTGATGTTGCCCACTAGCAAGAGAAAAAAAAAATATTGGCGCATATTAGATGTGGGTGTTTGATTTTCTATTTTAAGAGCTATAGGAAAAAAAATACTTTGTGCTTCAAAAGATGGTTGTAGTGTTTAAATGAGAGGAAACAAAAGCATCAGTTGGTAGGTGTGTTTTCCAAACACACACTAGTCTCAACTCTTCAAATAACAAGGCTCGGAGAAGTCGCTCATCTCAGTTGGGAACTTTCCTACATTTCAGGTCCTCTTGTTGTTATTTTGTGCTTTTCAGGGTAGCTCAGGCCAACTCTGAACTCATTCACGATCATCCTACCTCTGCCTCCCCAATGGTGGGGTTACAGGCACCAACACGCCTGCTCCCTTCTATTGTGGGTTTTTTTTTTCCGTGAAAGTTCAGTTCCATGAAAAGAAAATGCAATGCCCTTGAAAGAAAGTGACAGTGCCAAAGGTCAGTTCATGAAAAAAGCTACAAAGCAATGCCGACATCAGTGCTTCATGAGTGAACTTAACCTTGACATGTACATTACAAAGCGGTTCCTTTCCAGCAGTAAAAGCAAAGTGCTACCAACGAGAAACGTGAAAGCCAGGAAGAGAAAACCATTTCTGCTGAAGAAAGCACCTTATTCGCCATTATTTCTTGTACAATGTCCCTGGTAAATGATGAGTAAAGAAGAAAAAAGGCTTACATAGGTATGGGTTGAGATGACTTGTTTTTGCCAATAAACCCCAAGAAATTCTTTTAAGTGTTCTGCAAAGGGCAACTGCAAGTATAATGTTTCAGGTGAAGCCTATGAAGTTTTAAAAACAATAGCATAAAAGTATTTAATCAGTGCAAAATGTGCAGGAGGGGTGTGACTCTTCTAATACTTAGGGTCCCCATGGATAATTGGCCCAGGTACTCAATGGTGTTGAAATAACCAACCCTAAAACACACACACAGTGAGAGGGAGAGGGAGAGGGAGGGAGAGAGGGAGAGATTAACTACTGACTAATTAGGTCCTTGTCATCGTACAATCAGAAGCTTATACAGGCCACAGAGCTTCATGCCAAGTAGCCTCCCTTACAATAGCTTAGACAGGGTCATTTTGCCTTGAGCTTCCCATGACTAATGAGTTCCTGTTCTCATCAGATGAGGTCATTGTGTTGGTGTTGCCTTCATTCATGACTGGCATGAACTATGCCTGTTTGCAAAACAAAAACCCTCTAGCCTGGGTGTGGTGGTGCCCCCTTGTAATCCTAGAACTCTGGGGCTGGAAGCAGGAAGACTGTGAGGCCCATGGCCAGCCTGGGCTACACAATGAGACCCTGTCTCAAAAAAATAGGTGAACATGGGCTTGGAGAGATGGCTCAGTGGTTAAGGGCACTTGTTGCTCTTCCATAGGACCTCAGATCAATTCCAGATACTCATGTCAAGTAGTTTACAGCTATACAACCCCAGCTCTGGGGATCTGATACTGTAGTCTGCCTATAAGGGCACCCATAAATACATGGCATGCATACACACAGATACAGATAAATAAAAAAATTCACTACAATTACAAAACGAAACAAAGAAAAATGTCTTTAGGGAGAGGCTTTTTCATGAAGGGGCTGTGGGCTTGTTAGGCTTCTAGAATTCCTTGGGAATTTATCTGATTAATTTAAAAGATTTCCTACACTTGATTTGTTATTTTGTGTGTGGTGGTGAGCATGTACCACGGCGCATATGTGGAAACTGGAGGACAACTTGGGGGAGTTGATTCTCTCTTTCCATCACATGAGTCCCAGGGATTAAACTTAGGTCATCAAGTTTGTGGCTTTGCTGGACCATCTTACCAGTCCCTGAATAATTTTTAAAACTAGATAATGACTAAGAATGTTGTGGGCTGTTGTAATATTCTGCCATGTTTAACACATAGCTATGTTTCATTAGACAGGTGCCATTGTGGCAATTTGTTAATGTGGCCCATTAAAACTTGACATATTAATGTCATTAAGATGATTAAAGGGGGCAGGATGGACAGATGGCTTAGTTGGTAAATTGCCTTCTGTACAAGCATGAGGCCCTGAGTTAGGATCCCTAGTATTCATGTGCAAAGCTAGGTGTGGTCATATGTATGTGTAACCTAGCATGATTGGAAGATGGGAGAGTGGGGTAGGGTGTGGAGACAAGTAGATCCCCAGAACTCACTGGCCAGCCAATGTAGCCAATCTCTGAACTCTGGGTTCAGTGAGACACTCTATCTTGAAAGATAAGGTGGTAGAGTGATCAAGGAAGATACAAGAATCCACCTCAGGCCTTGATGTTTGTGAGCATGCACACGCATGCACACACACATACATATACTATACACATTCACAAACACGTGAGTAGAATGCTTAGTAGGTCATTAAAGATTCAGGATTTATTCTTCATTTTATAGGATCAGGAATGCATTTGTGTGTGGGGGGGGGGCTGCAAACTCCAAGGCTGGCAGAGTAATGAGCTGAGGGTGGCAAGAAGGAAGTCAGGTTCAACATGACTTAGTGCCTGCTGAGGTTCAAACTTCTAGAGTCTGACACTAGGGAGTTTACAGTTTTGAGAAAAAAAAAGGTTCCTGGTAACAATGATCTCAACCCCATGTGTACAACAAAGCTTAAGGTGTGGCTACATCAAAACTCTTTTGCAAAGTATCTGTGACCTCTTCCATAAAGATTGGTTCTATGGCTTAAGTGCCTAGGGGAGGATCAGGTGTGGGGTCTCAGAGTCCACCAAGCCACAAATTACGTGTGACATCTCCCCTAAAGATGGGTCTATTGACTAAGAAACAATGCTCAAAATAAAAGACTAAGACTCTGGAATAAACATAATAGTCTGGGGGATTCAGATGTAGGGGCTTTGAGGTTTTATAAATACTCAAGCCATGCCCAGTATCCAAGACCACTTCCTGCTGTTTCGGGTCAAGATGTAGAGCTCTCAGCTACCTCTCCAGCACCATGTCTGCCTGCACACTGCCATGTTTCCCACCATGAAGATAATGGACTAGACCTCTGCGACTATAAGCCAGCCCCAGTGAAATGTTTCCTTTATAAGAGCAGCCATGGTTATGGTATCTCTTCACAGCAACA